CCTGCAAAATTTCATCGTATGTGCAACTGATGATATTCCACGATTCTAGAATGAAACTTCCCGAGCTGGAATCACACAGAAACTGCACAAGTACCGTTAACTGTTATATGTTGAGATTACAAGTCTTTAGAGCTTCGTACAGTCACTAATGCTGTCTAGAACTTCTGGGATGGTTAGTTCGCCCGTGGCACAGATTGTGTAGGCCTTTAGCAACTCTTTAACGGGCGAAAATTCCCACCAAGCCACCAAGCTCATAGACTATCCCTCTCAGTAGCTAAATGAGCTCATGTCGAATCTGAAAAAGACATTTTGTACTATTCTTGGCCCGACCTCGTGAATCGTGACCAGTCCATTTGTTTGTTGTGGCGCAGAAATGTTTCATCGTGTGCTTAGAGGATCGCGATATTGCATTCCTTGAACCTGATAATGGCGGCTCCGCGTATGCTACTCTTCTGACCCAGCAACGATCCCTCTCGCATGAGGCTGTTGAAAACATAATGTTCACAGGCTTCGGAAACAGTCGAGGTGTTCATGCGTCAAAGCGCTGTTGTCAGATCTGAATAAATCTCCGGTTACCATGTCCAACTTTGGTATCGCTGGACAACGGTGTCTTTGAAAGAAATGATTGTAGAGTTTGTCCATCTGTATTTCATGGACTTGACCCTAGCAACTGTATTGTTGCATGCAACTTTCTGTGTCCTGGAGCACATTACATAGTACATGCTGTGCATGGTGCTGTCTGCCAAAGAAATAACACTGGTGAGGTGACTAATCAAGCGAGATAAACAAATGATATTTACTTCCCTACCTTGGGTTGGCGGCACTTGGACGAAATAGAAAGAAAAAGCCGAGGGAGCTACATCTCCGAAACTTTGGGAAGATCCAATCTTAAGACAACTATAGTAAACATGATAATAGCGTAACTAAAAGACGAGGGCCTTTGATCGATTGACCGCGCGTCCTTATGACTGTGCCTGTGTTTGTTAACTGTCTTGTCGCAATACTGCAAATGAACAAGAACAAGTCTTCGTCTTTACGTGAGGGATATACGTAGTATGTCACGCAACCGTTTTCTGTGACAGTTTCCCCTTAGCAAACACATCCGGTATGGTGTGCTGAAAACATTAAGAGACACCATGGTATATTTCTGTCTACCAGCTTGACAGGACACTCGAGTACTCTGTAAAGTCAAAGGCATTGCAGTTATCCTCGACCCCAGACCCAGTCCAAGCTCAAGGTAAATGACAAGTGCACGAGAAGGAGAAAGGAGAGCTATATGTCTCCTGATCAAATCAGGTATCGTTGCTAAAAGCACAGATACCGGTGCCACTTGAGAGGGCCTACCAAAATGAAGGCGGACAAGCGGCCAGAAGAAACGAAATGCAAGGAACAATCGATTGCGTGCCCGGCCGTTTCCCCCGAGCATGGATATGGCTTGCAGCTGGATGCAGAGCTCGGCCGATTGCCTTTTGCGATCGTCCTCCTGTAAATAGAAGCATGAACGCGTGTGCTATGTTGCTTACTATATGCCCGTATTCATCCAAGAAAGACTACGAAAGAAGAGTGGCTATGCGTGCGTTGTTCCAACAAACTCATCACGCGCATTCGGCTGAGGCGTCTCGCTCCATCATTGCAAGCGTCGTGGCACTGGGTTAGCTTAGGATTGGGGGGCCTTGGGCTTGTCCCTTTTGTGTGTGATAACCGTTCGTACCTTGCATTGGCGTCCAAAACGATGGATCCATGGCTTGCCACAGTCGCGTGAAATTCTAGGCTCTTTTGAGCATCGTTTTAGATGAGCACAAAGAGTCCAGTCCAATGGAGCAGCAGGAGAGGCATTCGGCTCCTTGCTCCTCTTTATCGATAAGGTCATCAGTCAGAGCCGGTCCTTTGTTGTCTTCTGCCCTTCATCGAGGAAAAGAACTTCCAGGACTGGCTTGGCAGGGGGAGGACAACGGCCTCGACCAATGAACCGGGCGCTTACAGGGAGCATGTGGGTGTCGAGTACAGCGAATCCCAGCGAGTATCCAGTCACTAGAAAAGCCAAGTTGAAGAATTTCAAGGGCCCGCTGGTCATGGCCAGCATCACCGAGGAGCAAGAGGATGAACCTGGAGCCAACAGGTCACATCTCCTGTTGAAGAAGCCGAATTAAATGATGGAAGCGGGACCCTAGCAGAGTTCTCATTGGATGGACTAGCCAACCAAACTGCGGTGACCGCACGTCCTTTGGAAAGGAAGGTGGCCCAGCACACCACGACAGGCGGTTTAGCGGCCAATTGCAGTGACTGTGCCCCTGAGAGGACCAAGAAAACAGTGGTCCCTAGTGGCTGTCTAGCCCCTCAGAGCGCCTAGCGGCCCCTACCATGGACAGCACCTGGACCCAAGTCTCATTTCCGGGGCAGGGGCCCCGGTCGTGATCAAGTGTAGCTCAGGACAGGCTCCGAGCCAAAAACCCTCTCCCTCTGCTGTTGTGGTTGTTTCTTTCTCTTTCCCAACCCAATCCTCGCGGGCCAAGTTTGTGAATATCGTCAACGGCATCGTTTTTTCGCTCCCAGTACATCTCGTTCTCAATCGCTTTTTGGATCTTCAGCTTCACTCTTTCAGCTGATATCCGTCCGGTCTTTCCAACCCCCTCTCTCCCTTCGTTCTACCCACTATCTTAGGCCCATCACCAACCACCTCGGGTTTTCGGTACTCGCCAGGCATTCATTGACGAACTATTGGCGATATCTTCTCCCTGGCGTACGTTATCCTGTTCCATCTGACCCTTCACCTGCCACCTGTATTTTATCGAGCCGTCTGTTTGGGTTGTGATTCTGCAACACGTCATGGCATGCATTGAATTGGTGGGATCGCCATGGCTTCGAATTGGCCAATCCTCCCACAGAAGTCTCCTTTGGAGTCTAGATGGGCTCTTCCGGCCTTGATACGGAATGGTACTTGGCTGCAAATATTGGAGGCTGCGTTGCAGATGACTATGCAGTTGACAACCGCCACAGACAGGCTCGGTCGCTCTCGCCGGGTGGCATTTCGGTCATGACCATGAGATGATGGCTTGCTAACATGGCGATGAATAGACGTTGCTGGCTTTACATTCGTTCTCTCTACTCGGAGCACCCATCGTTATTACGAACTCAAAATCCGTTGCTACACCTACGTAACATTCAACCACAAACTCTATTCACGATGCCTTCTATTTTGAATCTCGTTACCCGATCTGACATGCCTGCCGATTCTGATGGCTCAAACGACAACATGATCAACCTCATGCTTGGCCTCCTCGGCCTTGTCTTCCTCGGCCTCATTCTGGTCGCCATCCTTTTCCTGTTCCGCCGCGCTCGTCGTCAGAAGCAGCAAACCATCCAGTCCGAGGAGGATGGTCTGCCTTCATACTACGACAGCAACAGCAAGCGATTTACCAACCACCGCGGCCTCACCATCGAGACAACACATAACGGTCGCTCCAGCGTCTTCGTCGTCAACCAGGACGGCCGTCCTATGCTTGCCAACCCCAACTCTCCTCCTTACTCCCCCGATAACGTTCCCGAGATTCACATCACCTTCCCCGACGAGAAGGACGAGCAAGGCCGACAGCAGAGCGGTCGTGTGCTCGTCGTCCGCGTTGGTGATAACTCGACCGTTGGTCTGGAGCCCATGAACGAGGAGCAACTGCCCGCCTACGAGAAGGAGGCCAAGGGCCAATTCTACTCTATCGACATGGACCAAATTGGCGGCCTCAAGGAGAAGGACCGTACTCAATTCCAATAAAGAGATGCCTCTCCTTGATGCTTCCCTTTCCTTTCGTTCGTCGCCGGCGATGCATCTTAAGAGCCGTCTGGACGACCTTGTCACGACAAAGCTTTGAATACGATTCTTCATTTTGGGACTTTCTTCCCTCCACCAAAAATTAGCGAACTAACCCGCCTACCATGGCTCGACCTTGCCATTGCAACCGGAGAGTCAACGGCACTATTCATGACCCGTTACTATATATATACCCGTTTACGCTGCGGTCTAATTTTCGCATTGCTACCCATCAAGTGGTCGCCCCTCCCTCATCATACTTTTGCATATAGATCCCTCAGCTTTCCCGTCAGCCGACTTGAACAGTCAAAAACAAACTGCCATGGTCCAAGGTCTTAGGAAAGAGAGGGTTTAATGAAATGGATTAAAAACATGAGGCGGAGAGGGGTGGCAGTGACGCACCCCGTGGAGAGGCCTTGGATCACTCTGGCAGTTGATGGGTAACATGGGCCAAAGCAAAACACTTTTACTTGAGTAAAACAATTTCCTATTTTCCATGGGGTTGAGTCTTGGGATACGACACGGAGCACTTTGGAGTAGCAACTAACTATATCTATCTGTAGTCGATAGTGTATAATTTCTTATCCTAACAATTTTGAGTAACTGTAGTGACCTACGAATAAGTCTTTGTGATGTTTTGTAGACTGGCTCAGAGGCTGGTTGAAGGGAGGTTGGTGAGGCATTTGACTGGATCGTAATCCTGTAGATCCGATCCGCATTCCCTTGATTACCCCTTCCATCGAATGTCTTGGTATGTAGAGCTTCTGATTGGCCATCCGTCTCTCCGGCGTACACTACCCCCTGACGTTGAGTTGAACGGCTGCTAAATCAAAGAACACTGGGCTAATGATTTAGTTCAGATAGTTCGTTAGGCTTTTTAACTGACTGTCTTTTGTTCAGTCTGGGTTGACGAGAGTGCTAGGGCTTTCTTTACAGCATTGATCCGGGAACTCCGGACAGCATCACGATTCGGGACCTCTTTCAACTGGAGACAAAGAAGCATGCTGATTGATAATGTTCAGTTATTTTGCAGGACTCTCTCGGGATACTCATATTTGGTCCATTCTGGTGTTCCTCCACGCTTTGCTATGCCAACTGAAACCAAAACCGAAACCCTAGGGATGTACACCAAGAAGCGAAGAGTTGAACAACAAGTTGCGGCTTCAAGTGAAGAGCAACATGTTTTCAAGTGTGTTCCTTATTTGCCCGTCTCCATGGCAGCCGAATAAACAGTCAAGGTCGGTGCATCAGCGGGACACATCACCATAGGACACATACATGAGTTGTCCTCGCCTTCGGCACGCACGGTACAGACGATAGCATTCTTTGACGGGTCGCAGCAACAGCAAGGGGGTCCAGCAGGGACAGGTGTCTTTTCCTCGCGCTTAACGGGAGCGGCTGTAGTGGTGGTTGCAGGAGAAGTAGAGGTAGCCCAGACGGTAGGGGCACCGGCGGGACACACGACGGCTGCGCAGAAACAGTCTTCGGGCTTGACGTCTTTCTTACAGACAGTGGCAGGCTTGGAGATATCGCAGCAGCAGCATGTGCCGTCTGCCTTGTCGTAGGCTGGCGCAGCGAGGGCGACGCTCAAGAGAGCTGCGACGGCGAAGAAACGCATGTTGGTTTTGATAGGAGAAGATGGATTTGGCGGAGGAGTTGTAGGTAGGTGCCTAGGTCTGAGGAAGAGGATATATGCTGAGGCCGCAAGTGAACAAAGTTTGCTTGTTCGTGAATCACTTTGAAGCGAAGGATAGAAAATAGAGGCACTGAACAGGAGGACAAGGCAGGACACGAGGCATAAATAGATACCTAAACACGGCAAGGTAAAGAAAGCATTGAGTTGGAATTACACGAGGAACAAGGGATCAGGCTCCTTAAAATATAGGTACTTTCTTGACAGACCAGACAGAACAAACAAAAAATGGGTAAGCGTCACCGGGTGATGAAACGGCCCCCGTCCCTTCCTCTTCCCTTTTTTCCCTGGCCGAAGATCATTTACTGCCATTTATGTATCTTTTGTGGCTTATGTGTGTGTATGTGTGACAATCACAATTAACCTTCTGATCCTCCCGAATCCTTCACCAACAGAATCAGCCTCAAACCAGATTAAAAGAGGAGTACCTAGGGTATAACTCACACCTAAATCCTGTAAGACCTAGGGAACTTACGAGAAACCTGGGAGGTACTTGGCCATGACTTCATCTACATCAGACTCTCCGGCGCTTCCCAACTTTGGTGTTCTAATAATTCTTCCTCTTGGTGTATTTTCTCTTGCTGTGCACACAAGTGCCGTCATTCATTTCCCGGCGTGTTTCAGGGCCTGGACTGGCATTGGAGCCTCGGGTTTGACAAGGCCAAAGCGGGAAAAACATGTCGATTTAGGCTGTTTTTGGGGGTCGGTAAGTAGATTTAACTTTGTAAGGCCGTTTGATCGATGAATTAAGGTATGTATGTATATTTGTATATGCTGCGTTGACTTGAACTGAGAGGGTAGGCTCTATCTTACATGCTAAATACTATTTTATATATGCTAAATGTTTATGAATCCTTAGATGCAACACTCTTCATATGCTAATCACTTTTGTCTGTACGGAACCTTATGCTAAATGAATTATATGCTAAATACTATACATGCTAAATGCAAGACCAATATCGTTCCAACTCATCCGCATGCAACAAACGCTACATGCATCACAACCACGTTATATCCATGAAACAACAAACACCACCCGCAAGCAAGAATGCGTTCATCTATCGTAAACTAGTTCGCTCTTCTTAATCACAAATCTTACAATGTGACGTTTGTCCTCGCACAGCCTCACAGTGATCGACGCATCACGGCTGTCCTTGGCCATATCCTACGACAGAGATCGCTGCTTCAGCTCTCGGCGTCAGCACGGGACTCGCTACAGGGATCGACTTTTTTTTGTTGTAATGAAGGCGACGACGCATCGGAGAATACTTGTCCAACATTGTTTCTTTGGTCGCGGAGTGCACGTGTCCTTGCATGAGGTACTTTGTGCGTAATCTGTGTGTAGCTTGTCGGTCATATTCGGACATCGTCACGATGCTTCATATTGATTGAGTAACATGTCTCGTATACAGCACAAGCAATGACATCAGACATGATGCTTGCGAGAGTCGAGATGGTCTTGGATGATTGTTCAGCACTTTTTGATATTGTTCTTATTGATAGTACTCGATAACTCAGAATCCCTGCTATCTCATCTCATAAACCGAGCCACCTTTTTGCCTATATCATTCATAATCTGTCATTGATTGACTACAAGATTGTCAAGCAGTAGCTGACAAAGAAGAAAAACGAAAAAAGAAACCCCGACTCAAGGTCCATTGCATTGCATTGCATTGCATCTGTCCTTATATTTCACCAACTAAACAACATGCCCTTCCCAGCCGCTATTGTGGGAGGCTCAGTTCAGAGCGTCCCAGAACCAAATGGTCCAGACTTCATATCAACATTGAGACCGCCTCAACATAACATTCCGCATTGCTTTGATGCGAGAAAAGGATAGACGATAATAGTACACGTACAGCCAAACCAGCAGCTGACTCAAGGACTGACCTAAGCGCCAGGCATGCGAAGGATAGGGTACAGAGAGGATCCCTCACGGGGAGTACCCAGTTCTCTAGGAGGAGCTTGAGGGCTCTTGGGGTCAACATCCATAGCGTCGGAGTGGCTGGATCGTCGGGACTCGTTGTCTTCCACGAACTCCTTACGCTCCAGACGTCCACGGACATACTCGCGAAGAGTCTCAATGACTCGCATGTTCTCGAGCCAGCGGTCATACTGCTCCTCACGCTCACGGGTAGCGTCACTGACATCGGACTCTGAAGACGGAGAGCCAACGGACAGAGCAGACTCGCTAGCCTTGGGAGTGGAAGCACCACTCGTGTCCTCATGGGGCAGAGGCAGAGGACCAGCACGAGCTCGTTGAAGCATACCGCCGGAGTAGCGGCGACGCTCGCTGCCGTCGAAGCTAGGGCCAAGAGTGGTTGTGGCAGAGTGGCCGAAGCCCTGGCTAACAGCAGGGAGGCTTGTAGGGAGAGTGGGGTACATGACTGAGGCAGTCGAGCCGTGGCGGGACTGAGGAGACATGGCAGAGGATGATGGGCTTGGCGAGTGACCAGATGTGTATGACATGGAGCTGGAGGGCGGTGTAACAGCAGGAGTGCCGGTAGATGAGATGGCCGTCAGAGGCGAGGCCATGCTAGCGGCAGACACAGGCTGGTAGCCGTCAGCTCCGACATGCATGCCGGTAGGAGACCTGTGAGAGGTAGGAGGCGAAGGAGTGTTGCGGTAACCGTTGAAGCCGTTCTCAGCGTGGTGAATGTGGACACCAGCAGTAGCGTGATTAGCATTCTCGTAGATAGTGTCTTGCATCTGGCCAAGAATGGTGTCGATGTGAATGAGATCCTTCTGAGTTCGCGCGCTGGGCATGGGCAGGTAGTATTGCTGAGCCAAGGGGTTTTGGCTAGGAGTAGGACCAGCGTGGACAGGAGCAGGAGCAGGCTGAGGCATGTACTGGTCGGTAGCAGTCATAGGACCGTTGGGAACGGAGAGGTTGCCATGGAGGGGCATCAAGGAACGGCCAATCTGGGCATAAGATGAAGGATCGATCTGTCGACGCTTGGCGCTGCCGAAGAAGTCGTCAACCATGTCGTAGGTGCGCTTTCGGTCATAACCACCGGCAGCAGCGCTGTATCCAAGGTGCTCGGTACGAGCATTGTTGATGGGAGGCTGGTTGAAGTAGAGGCCATAGTTGGTGGAGGGCTGGGGAGCATAGTAACCGCCATTAGGATGACCTGCCTGATGAGCAAAGGCAGCTGCGTTAGTTCGCATCTGACCAGTGTGATCATAATAGCTAGAGGGGCCTGGAGGCGGATTAGCCTCGAGGGAAGGAAAACCGGAGGACCACAGCCGTGGACTAGAGTCGAAATGGGACATACCCTTTGGAGGCTGTGGCCTGTAGTTGAGTCCACCTTGAGGATCCTGGGATGGGCGAACAAGTACAGAGTCATCGGCATGGGTCTGTTTTGCGGGTGAGTTTGGTGTACTTGTTAGATGTGAGTTATGGTTTGTGGTTCTTACCTTGACATGCTTCTTCAAATCCTGAGGACGCTTGAAAGACTTGCCGCAGAACTCACACTTGTGAGGCTTGAGAGGAACATGGACACGGATATGTGAGGTGATGTGGTCTCGCTTGACCGTGGTAGTTCGGCAAGAGTTCCATTGACAAGTCAAGTTGAGGTTGTTTGTGCTCTTGCGACCAACATGGCGCTCACAAATATGCTCCTGTAAGGGGTCAATTTTTGATGCTCTTTGGTGATGATGTTTCAGTGTCTTACGTAGAGAGCCTCGGGAGCAGGGAACTTTTGGTTGCAAGCATTCCATCGGCAGATAAGGTTATCGTCGCTTGATGTTGAGGGAGCAGTGCTGCTCTGGGATGTATTAGATGTGGCGCTAGGAGCAGGCGTCACGGACTTTGAGTCATTGGCACTGCCAGAAGACGAATCTCCTGATGTTGAGCCCTGTTGTTGTTGTTGTTGAAGCTGAGGCTTCTGCTCTGGAGTCGGAGGAGACATGACGGGAATAGAGGGAAAATGCAATGATGGGATATCTGATCAAGCCCGCTCAGATGCGATGCTGTATAACTGACTGACTGGCTGAGACTAGTCAGAGTGTAGAGGGTCTTGCTTTTTAGTTCAACAAGGGTACGATGAGGGCCTCTGAGGGTAAAATCAATCAAAACTTGTCGAAAGGAAACAAGTTGGAGATTGATTGATAGAGACGGATGATTGCAGATGAATGAGATGTTCAAAAGAGAGTTCGTTCTTGATAAATGAGTGACGGGGGGAGTGAGCTCCCTTTACATTCACCCAAAACTCTTGGGCAAGAGAATGAAGACGGCGGGATTCTTGGCGACTCTTGGCAAAAGTCTTGGCAAAGCCAGAGGTACTGACAACTGACGGGTACACGGTCGGCCATACCGATGTGGTGGTGGTGGAGAGTAGCTCTTGGCACGAGCTACACCTAGTTAGATGGCAGATTGGGAATGCCAAGCCTTGGCGGTCTTGGTATTCTGGGCACTGCCCCTCATGTGCATCGTTCTATTGGTCTTGTCCATATTGGCCTCGCACAAAGCTGGCCACCTACTGCGTCAAGCGTTTTGTCGTTCCGTCACCTGAGCCATGGGGATTTCGGCCCTGGCCTGACACCCTTTCACTCTCACTCTCACCTTGTGCTCTTCACCTCAATCAGGGTGTCTTTTCGGCGGGGGCCAAATCCGAGCGAGAAGAGACAAATGTTGTACGAGAATTGAAAAATGCTGGGGTTGCACGAATGTGCACGGAATACGCTGCATGCGGAGTTAAGCAGGGGACACGCAGTGAGTGAGTGAGTGAGTGAGTGAGTGATTGAGTTCGTAAGCCCAGTAAAAAATTATACATACATGGAGAGTTCCGGGTCTATCGGGGAACTGTTATCCCCCGTAGTCCAACGTTAATATCAACTAAATTTGACAAAATCTGCCGGAAGAGTAGTTAGTCGGCTCTGGCTCTGTTATTCCCAGGACAGGAAATTGACCTCTTCCGATAGATGAGTCAAAAGCACCAGACAAAGCACGCAACGTTGATAATACATAATAACTAGTATTAACAATAGGGAAAGAGGCGTTCAGAACATACCAGACTCATAGCAAACACACAACTTGATCAACAACTGGCCTGACTCAGGGTACCCTTCTCTCTCTCGCCGGGTACAGTTCAGTTCCTAGGTAACCTCATGTCATCAGCCAAGCCAGACTCCCACACAACCAAGCTTTCCGCCCATCTGCTCTCACCCAAGGCCAGTGTCTAGTCTCTCCCATTTCACTCGTGTTTGTCCTTATTTTCTTCGCCGAGGCTTTTGGCCAAGACAATATTCTCCATTTCTCGTCAAGCTTGGCCCCAGACTGCCAAGACCCTCTTGGCATCTCCTTGCCAAGACAAGTACCTAGTCTTGGTCCTTCTCCTTCTCCTCTACTCATGTAGACCCGCCAAGAAATGTAGAGCCAAAGCACACGTTTTCCCCTTGTTAACCACTACCTAAGTAGGTAGCTAAGCCAGGTTAGAATGTGATTATGCTTCTTTTCACTGCCGTTACTGCCTGCCTGTCTGGGCTCAGATTAAGTCGATCGCACTAAACTTTGTTACCTGACAGTATGATGCTTCGGTTAGGAATAAGGAGGGAATGTTCTCTGCATGTGTGGTGGCTAATAAATTACCTACTGTGTAAGACTGTTCGAAATCAACTCCAATTCCTCAAAACAGAACATCGTGTTATCACGTTTTTTACCTGGGCATCTGACCGATTTGCGGGTCGGGTCGCATAGGTTAGTAGTCAATGCTTCCCCATATCGATTCTCCATATTGACATGCATCTTGAACAAGATATCGCGTCTCAAACCATCCGAGATCTCTTAATCTGTCCAGTTGCAGCACAGTATAGTAGCATAGTAAACAACGGGTTTGATAACGCTCAGCAGCATCTCCATTATTTGCCGTTGAAATAACCTGTTCCTCTGAGCTCGCCCAGGAAAATAAGAACGCCGAGGATCTAAAACCATCGTTACCGCAATGGGGAATCGGAGATGAAGATACGTCTGTGAAATGCCCAGAGAAACATGATGCAACCTCGTAGGCTTACAGGTTTTGCCCTTCGTTCGTCGTCATCCAGTGAAGTCAGTCAATATCGTTCAATCTTCCAAGCGCTCTTACACACACAGTACATACTCTCCACCGAGTCTCAAGATTACATCAACAATCATTCAACAAATCCCGCACTGAATATTGTATTCTCCTCCGTCCTCCGCAGGAACAGTTCCCTAGTCCCCGAACTATTACCCCGGACCAAGCACCACTATCAGGCCAAGCAAAAGCCAAGAGAGCGCCCAGAGAATGCCCAGAACTCGAGCATCCCACTCCTTCTTGATGCCAAGGTCTTGGTGATGACGACAAACGGTGGCAGTGCAGGCTAAGAAATGTCCGAGGTCTTCACGTTCTTGTCTTGTGAACATAAGCCTGCTCAAGCTTTGTAGCCAAGGCCAGAAGTGCTTTGGTAATCACCTCATCGCATGTCAAAGCCAAGATGCCAGCGGCAGGATAGAGTAAGATGATCGTCTATTTTGCTATTACCGGCTATTAACGCTTGTTGTTTCCTTGGCGTGACGATACTGCTTTGTGATTGAGGGAAAGAGTCCGACTGGTGAGCGGTCTTGGTGTTGTTTGGTGCAATAGACTGATATCAACTCCACCAAATTCGACAATCATATTGGCTTATAATATTTCAACTTGATTTATATGCACAGAATAAGTGCATACTATACACAGCAACCGATGCAAGAGGCCTCCAGATCGAATTGTTTGATCGTGGTGCAGATGATGAAATCGTTTAGGGTAGGCAATAGCAACGTCTCCCTTGAACCCCTGTCTCGTTATTCATGGCGTCGACATAGATTGACGGTTTGTTTCTTCTACTAGCGTAAGTATGATAAGCCCGGGTAGTGGTTGAATGTATCATCATTGCACTTTGAGAATTAAGAATTTGTGCTCTACTCTACAAACCCATGGATTACCGATCTGGCGTAAACACCACGCACACGAGATACCCTTCATCATACTGCACATTATGTCTTGCTCAGTCACAGCAGATTTATAAGAGAAAGGCTTGAAAATATAGAGAAGATACGTTCCAGCTTACTCCTTCATTGTGAACCAACACACCAGACCCATGAAAAGACCATTACACTACCAGTATGACGATTACGAAATATACTCAAAAACATGACCATGCACGTGACTGCAGATTATCGCTGTCTCCATCGATCGAATGACTTCACTTCTCTCCGCCGCAAAACTCTTTCATTTTAGTTTCCTTCAACCTTTCCAACATGGAACATTGTTGATAAACATACTGGCTGAACACGAGTTTCTTATCTATAAACTCTGATCTCGCCATTATATGATGGTGTTATCACATGCTTTGTTTCTCCAGTTTCTCAACACCACAATACAATTCCCAACCAAATTCGAGATTGACGCCATGCTCCCCATGGGCATGGATCGACCAACCCCCTCATCTTCATAACGTCAACATCAAACATTCACATGTGCGATGCTCCAGACACTCCATGCGGAAAGAAAGATCAGAACTTCCATTGGTAAGCTCAAGAGGCTTTAGATACTAACGATCAGGAAGCTATCTAATCCACCGCTCCAATATGATTTTACTCCTTTTTTCAGTCTTTGTGCCCTCGGCAAACAAAAGACGCGAGGGCGAGCGTATAGCGTTCGAGCCCAACTGGTTCCAGCCATGATATCATATCCCTATATGTTGTCTTGAGGGTTCACATCCAGGATGTCCCTCTTTCTGTCCCTTTTCCTCCTCTATCTGTTGTTGATGATGATGATGCGTTCCCCACATCAAATGCCCATAAAAGTTGATTAAACAAAGATTCGAGAAAGTTGCAAAACGAGGCCCCAAAAAAAAGGCTGCAACTGCCCACAAATGGTATAAAATAATCGTCGTCATAATCCTCCACATGATGTTGAAGTGGTAGGATCTGGTAATGATGCAAAGCCAAACTTGGGTGACCGGGTATTGTAAAACAAATACCCCAAGGAGACGACTCAACATCGGAGACCAGCCCTGCCCGTCAAGGGTGTTGTCGTGTCGCTCAGAAGCCAAAGCTCCCGGCATAAGTATGCGCCTCGGGGCTAGAATGGAACAGCCCCCGTGGAGCGACAGGAATATCAAGTGACGGAAGCGAACGCCTCGACAACTTGTGTCCCCTCAATAATAAGAATAAGACCCGGGTAATAGAATATCCCATCTCTAGGCAGCGAAAAGTTTCGGGAGACGCCCAATCATTGGAATATTGCCCATATGCTGACCTTCCACAGCCGACGATGATTCAACTGTCGTGTAGACAGATGCCGCCGAGTACCAAGACGCCAAAAACCGAGCCCATATTAAGAAAGAGAATAACCCGAAGAAAAACGTTAAGAGAACCGTGTCATCGTGATAATAATAACGATCCAGAGGTCGCCGCCTCGGTCGTTGGTGTGGGCCGACACGGCCTCTCCTTAAGCCAACCAACCCCTGCCCCGAATCGATCGCCTTCAGAAATCCCGAAAGCCCAAAAAACGCCGTGCATGCAGAGAGATATGTTATACAGAACCGAGCTGCAGGAGGGCCTCGACGGCCTCCCGCTCCTGTGCGTCAGAGGTGCCCGCCAACGCCGAGAAGTCGATGTTTAGTGTTTGAGGTGTACGAGCCATGCCGGAGCTGGCAGAGAACGAACGAAGTCCACCTGGAGCATATGCAGAAGAGGATCGGAAGCCATGGTCCGTCTGAGCTGCCGCCTGGTTAGGGTAAGACTCGGCTCGAAGAGCAGCAGCTCCCATGGTAGCCCAATCCTCGTCATCTGTCGCATCCTCCGGATCATCGTTCATAACGACATCATCATCCGGGGCCTCGGAGCACGAAGCGGATCCAGATCCATCCATGGACATCTTGTCGGCCTCATGCTCCATCATGTAAATGTCGTTATCATCGTGAGAATACTGCACCGAATCCCCGTTGCTTGACGCAATGCTGAGTCTGGGCCGGTCTTGACCCCTACCGCCGATGTTGCCAATGGGGATGCCCGCGCCGTAGGATGAAGGAGGAGTTCCTTGTCGGTGTCGAGAAGGCTGTCCTCGCTTGCGAGCATCCCAGCGGCCCCATCCCACCTTTTCAAATTCCACCTCTCCATCCAGTCCGCCTCCTTCTCCTCCTCGTCCCTCCAAAGCTCCCACGACTAGTCTCCGCGCCTTTGTTGGGGGAATCCCAGAGAATCCGGGTACCGAAGTGGTCAGGTACCCCATGATGTGTCTGATAGCCAAGGGACCATGGTTGAGCAGGATCTCTGGCAGGTGGTATTTGGCAAGGAGAGAGCCAGTAATGGCACCCGAAGCCTCGAGGCCAGGCGAGATCGAACGTCGTCGATCCGACGGCTCGTGAAGGTCCAGGTCTGAGTCAATAGGCTCAAGCTTGGCCTTTTGGAGCTGCGCCTTGAGGCCGTGAGGCGGCAGGTTGGGAGAGATGGAGTTGGGGGGAGTAGGAAGGGGTTGTTGAGATCGTGTCACAGTCGCAGGGACACTCCGAGCCGCTACAGCAGTTAAGTTGTCTCGGCTCAAGGAGGCCTGGGAGATATCACGAGCAGCCGCTGCCATGGTAGCCATGTTTACCGAGTTTCGGTCTTGATTGTATGCGCTTCCGAACGAGCAAGTCTGAAAACGGGAAACTTTGGTCAGCGATTTTGATCTTGAGAAAGGGATAAAATTTGCGACGCGATCTCTGTGAAGAAAAGGAGGACGAGAGCGAGAACCAGGTACTGCTGCCCTATGGGAGCGGTAAAGAGTTGCGGTCATGAGAAATGGAGCCCGGCTCGCTCTCGAGTCACCGCGGTCGGTCGGTGCACTGCGTCAGACCAAGGTGAACAAGGTACGTACCTATTCAGAAGCCTGGTGTAAGGAGAGCTTGCAAGACGTTGTTGCTGAATGGCTGGTATATGGCTAAGTAGGGCAGAGCTGGCACGATAATCTGGACTGTGACAAGAGACTCTTGTACGAATCTTGTGGTTCTTCTGGTAGTGTTGTTGTGTTTGATGAAAGGAACATCCAGGGAAGGGGAGGGAGATAAGTAGGTTATGTATATGAGTGTGTGACTGACTGACTGACTGACTGTGACTGAGCATGAGCAACCGTGTGTGCCCTGCCCAGCGAGTGTGAGGCCGGTACGTACTTGCACTTACACCTCTGTTGGGTGCATCCAGCACCTATCGCGAGGTCAATGTGCCCTGTCTCTGCCTGCTGGAAGGCAATTCTCACCTCAAAACAACCTAAGCATTCGGGGTCGGGTTGGTGGGTGCCATTTTGGTGGCACTGTACGTGCTAGAAGCACACCACCCCATACCGACAAATCACAGCGCAATCGCAGGCCACAGCCCCCAAACGGGTTAAAACCTTGAGCCCATTCGTCTGCACCCCCATGTTTGGCCAACTTGTTTGGAGGCGCCTTTATTTTTAGGGGGCGTGTGCCTCCGGCGTTAGATGATAAGGTTGATTGGGAGGATAAGACGCCTTAGAGATAGATAGGCACTCACAATCACAATCGAGCATCCATACCTACATTTGCTAGCAATCTTGCACTGGCTTGCTGATGGTTGAGACATGCAACCCAAAGCCATAGAAGAAGCCTGGAACCCAACAAACTTTCCCCTTTCTCTTTGATTCTACCACGCTTCTTTTGTTCATTCCCTGCCAAAAGTGGCACTCTCCTTTCTTTCTGCTGGTCCATGTGAAATTGTTTTTTTCTGTTTTTCATTTGCTTCTAATTCCCAAGCATCTGGTAGTCTAGGGAAACGAGAGGATCTGGGCCACAGCGCAAACGGGGAAGCGATCCGGCCCAGCCAAACGAAATAAATTGCCCGTTTCATGCCCTAGTGAGCTCCAGCTTGGTTCCAGCGCAGAGCCCACGATACGGCTCGCGCTTTTTCGCTATTGACTCCCTTTTCCAGTCTCGTGGGTTCTGTAAGGATGTTTAGTAGGGCATGGCTACCATGGATGGGCACAACATCAAATGTCGGCTCAGCTTCCGGATGACACAGATCAATTCTCATCATGAAAGAAAAGCAGCAGGGACAAATAGTACAGTCATACTCAGAACGGCCCGGCTCCGGCGCTCTGCTCTAGTTCCGGACCTCGGGGCTTTACGGCGCACGGAGACGAGGACATAATTCACTCCACCATTATATCTCATCATGTGCGGCATGTTGAAAGGTTACTGGAGACTTGAGACGGAGGGAGTCGGGCATTTGGCACCTCTTCTCAGATTTCCGAGGTTGCGCCTCTAACTAAGCGGCACCGGTATCGATCGTCATAATGCTTTTCCAGCTTGAAGCAGGGCCCAGCAATGAACCCCGTGTTTGCGACGGCTGGCTCTGGTCTCTCGCAGGATGGGGCTCGCTTCTCTCTGGGTAGGTATCTGTCATGTCAAGTTATGCTACTGTCTCCAATTTTTGAGAGTCTGGGGATTCATTAATTAGTCGCAGCTCTATTACTGAGCGAGCCGGTGTCAGTTTTAGCGTGAGAGACACCACAGTGCTCCCTTTCGGCCAACACCTTAGGCCACGGGGCCCAGGAGATTGGGGTAAGGCTGTTGGAGTTTATTGATGTTAGTTACTCGTCCAAGGTTGTGGCTGTTCGCGATTCAACATCAGCCACCAGATTATAGTCGCCAACATTCCATCCCTCCATCGCCGTCGAAGCGACTTGGCTGGATCGACTCAAATGTGCGGTTGATTCATCGAAATGGTGACTCAACTAAAGGGGAAAGTCATCGGCGTCATGGCTTTCTATTCTTGCTTGTGGAAACGTGGCCGTCATGACATGCATCGCAGGGACACCCATGGAAGCAATGCTGATTGTAGAAAATATCTGCATCCATCGGCTCATGCAAGAATAATGCAGGCACCTTTTAGTATAATTCTGCAACAAAGGCATGTAAGTATTTTGTGTCCGACTCACTCTCTGTATAAGTTTCTTTGGCCCTCTCACGGAATCAGCGGGCCCTGTTAACATTCATCGACAGGGGTAAGGGATCCCTCCTTTACTGGGAACATCAAGTCATGACAAGCACCAGCAACGGACCAAATTTCCATCATGCCCTAATTTCGTCCGGCTGCTGTTAGTGAGCCCTTGGTGCTTTGAAAAGGAGGACTGAGACAGGGCATCAAACTTGAATTTCTGGAATATCGTTGTGTGCCTAATTTGACACGTACCTGCGTGATCCAAACTCTTTGTTCGTAAGTGTGTAGGGCTAGAAGCATGAGAGAGGCACGCTCCCGGCGAACCCAAAGCCACCCGTGTTCCAGCTGCGGCATCCCGTGTGTATCGCGATGGGGGGGGGGGGGGTTTTTAAAACTGTATCCCCAAGGCGTGGACGCACCTGTAACTGTTCCCGTGGCACATACTGTTTTTGAGATATTGCTCATACGGTCCTCTTTTGGCTTGGCCATTTGTGCAATCGCTTCATATCAAGATTCGTCTCCCTTGGGACCACGCGGGCGCCTGGTGCTGGAGGCGTTATTTGTAGTGAATAACCAACCCTAATCATCAATTCCAAAGATACGACACTACCATCGAGTTTACCGGCTTGATCGAAGTACTCATGTATTCGAAAGCCATATCCCACCCACTATGTCTGCATTCACAAGTTGTTCCTTGGCCAATCCCACGTAATCATAGCCATTCTCGGAGCCTTCGTATTGATGTCGATGGCTGTGTCCAAGTTCGTACATAGATGCATTCGCGTACTTTCTCCATTTGCAAATCAAGGCAATTTGTTGTGTCAGATGTACTGGAATTCGTGTACTAACACATCATCTAAGGAAGCCATCCTTTGATGTGTTACTGTCACGTTGCCAAGGCCCTTCTCTGTGATTGGACTCACGATGCTGTCAGTATTGCCGACTCAAGTTCGTCACCTTTCTATATGCCGGTATCGTCGTCCAACAGCGAGCCTGCTTCACATGGTGGAGGCACCGGCCAGCCGATGGATGATGGCGACAAAGTCTCTCCCTCTTCATGTTTCATTCAACCAAGGAAAATCATCCTTGGGCGCCAGCGTGACCCATCATCCATTGATAAAACCCCACGTTGGACAACGCTGCGCCGTGGGCACCTCATAAAAAAGCCTCTTCCCCGCGCATCGATAGGGAAGAACGGAAGGGATGCGGACTCAATCCATCAATCCCGTTGCCCCGCGCCCTTGAAGCCCGAGGCTACGATACATATCGCGTCGTGCGGGGGCCGGTGGCTCCTGTGCCGTTGGCGATCCCGTTCTATCCCGCTCCGAAGACCTCTCCACATTGAGTGACCTCGTCCATTCGTTCCCAACCAGGTGGTTGACGCACAAAGCTTCCCTGTCTTGCCTGTCTATTACCGAGTTCAGCAGACTCGTCACTGCCATGCTTACACCACTGTGACTCTTTGGGACATGGTTACAGCTGCAGCTGAGCCAACCCCGCCACCGCCGCCAAGTACATCTCAACTGAGGGGTGGTTTGATATATATGCCGCCGCCATGTTTCGAGGCCATCGTTGACGATACCTAAATCACATCATTCGGATCGTACGTGTGCATGATCCACCAGCTGATAGGCTCCAAGTCGGATTTGAATCTCACAACTTCACAAGTCTAGCGACCCACAAATGAGACAATGGAGGTGCAGGTATGCTCGTAATGTCGTCAACTTCCAAGGTTGGCAGCTCAACCCCAGAAATCTTCGAAGATTGCCCGAGTTATAAATTGTGAGTGTGGCATCAACTAAGGGTTTACATGCCCTGAATACCGAGGGCCCGAATCTCATGAACCGAAGACAAACTCGCGGCAAGCCTAATTGATAAGGTCAGTGATACGATGGGCCGAGTTTGTGTAGCATATGGGACATACCGTTCGTAGGACTCCTAGTTTCTGTTGGGACTGCTCGAATACTTGCTTGTACTGAGCGAGGCTTTCCTGTAAGACTACTTCCTTGTTCGTACGACCTTCGCAGATAGCCTTCATCTTGATTTCCATCTCCTTCCGGAGAAATGGTTTACCAAGGCTGGTTTCGAAGTTCATTCGATCAAAGCCTAGGATTAGAGCCACTCCAAGCTGCGTGGGGACAAAGACTTTCAAGCCGCTTCGGCCACCTGATGATAACGAACCACCGCGTCCGCCTCTGGCACCTCGACCGCCACGTCCACGTCCACGACCTCTTGTGGACGTGCTTGTGTCTGCATCCTCATCATCTGCCGATGTTTGACCTGACCGGCTGATCGTAGCGACATATTCCCTGTCCTGGATCTTCTGGATATGCTCGGCCATGGTAGCATCTGTGCCGATCCCATTGGCATCCATGAGAGCGATCAAATCGGCTTCCGTTAGGTAACCAGGCGCTGTGGTCTTCCCTTCTGTCATCATAGCCTCCGTTGGCTGAAAGTGCTCACCTTCTGTGAACTTCGGAAGTTCCGCTGTGTTATTCCATTTTTCGTAAATGAACACGTCAAGGTAATTTCTCTCTAGCACAATTACTCCATGTGCATTGAAACGCTCCTCTCCAAATTCAAGCTCAACATCAGTTGCCATACCGTGGGCATCATCTGAGCAGCATGCAAGAAATCTGCGCGCAACATACT